AAAAAAAAAAAAAAAAAAAAAAAAAAAAAAATAAACCAAACTCAACGAAAGGTATTGATCTGTCTGGTAGAAAAAAGTATAAATAAAATCTCTGTCTCAAGTGATTTGTGGCTTGAGTTTTTTTTTTCAGCTACTAAAAAAGTGCTTTTAGTTTGATCTTAAATAGACTAATAATGCACCACCAAACAGATATTACTGCTATTACGCAAACGTTACGGGAAACGCGTACTTCTCCCTGTTTGCTAACAAAATTAAGTTCATTATAAATTCAGTTTCCACTTCCTGTTTATTCGTTTCTCTTTTCTTTTTTTTTCTTTGTAGAAATAATGTTTTAAATAGAGCATTTCTAGATTGATAGATAACTTTTTGTTTTTGTATACCAGAAAATAGTAGTTCTTTTCAAACTTTTTTGAGTTAGTCTGATAAACGGCAATGATTTCAAGGACTGAAGAAGATTATCTAAGCAAATTTTTGCAGCCTTATTCTATAGAGACCTCATGCTACGGTCATCCTTCTCTAGCTTTTGTTTGAGACAAAGAACTGAGATTATTTCTTCCGGTTAGTATAATGAAAAAGCAATCATGCGCGTCTTCCCTTCAGTCTGGCACTTTGTACTTAGCTAAAGGGGAATGGTAATTTGTCCAAAGTAAAAAAGCCTTTTAAAATTTCCAGAAAAACAGATTTAACTAAGTGAGTACAATAGATAATTTTGTAGCAGCGAAGACAATCAAAAGAAAACTGGTCGGCATTTGTTTGAAAAATGAAATCCCAGAAAATTTTATTGTATCTTTTCTGAGCATTAAGAGGTTGAGTAGGTTTTGACGCATATTGGAGAAAAGTATGCTTCGATTAGACATTGTGAAACGAATCTATTATCAACGAATTAAACGTTGTTGCGATTATTAAACTCACCCTTCTTGCACTGATTTCCTTTTCTGCTTTGCAGTGATTGCATAGAAAGTGATATATGAACATTGTAGAAAATTTTTTTCAGAACTAATTTGGAAACTAAGTTCAGTCAAGATTTTCTTTACAAATCTGAACAGACACCGATGTTAAATAATCAACGTAATAGACAAATAACTAATTAATCTGGT